TTATATTATGTCTGTTAGCTTGGACTTGATAAAGGTTTAAAACATGCCCATCAATTTTAAAATTTCTGTCAGTGAGGCAGAAATGTTTTTGGTTGCTCACACTGGGGATTTTTGGTGTGAATTTGTCCTATCACCAGATTGAGGCTGCCTGCTATGCCGCCCGGCTGGATAACATGAGAGCGAGGTTGACCAAAGATGGCCGCCAGAGAATTAAATATCGAGATAATAAGAGGTCTTTCTGACGAGATTGGAAGTTTCTACGAAAAAACCGAGTCCAAATATTGGACGTCCTTGCCATCTGAAGCGGTTTCTGAGAAGCTTGCGGTCCAGGATTTGTTTAAAGAGTTGAACCGATTGAAAGAAGATTCCTTAAAGTCCTACTCACGGAGATCTGATCGAGATAAACTAACAGTGTCTTCCTGTAATTTGGACGACATGGCCTGCCGCGAGCTTGACAACTGGAAAAGGTCTATTATTAGAAGGGAATTTTTTGTGGCCAAACATTCCAATCCATGGATTGTAGAATTCAGTTACAGACTTCATAAGGAGATATTCGATCATTTAGTGGAAATCCTCACTTGCACATCTATGTATGGAGTAAACATCCAAAATCATCTAAAGAGAAACGGCGAAATAAAAGAAAAAGTCATTAAAGTATCTCACAAAAGAAAGCTGGAGCGATGGTTTTCAGAGGGACAAATGACTGGAGAGGTGGGGTTTAAAAAAAGAAGCATTAAAGGCAAGGGACACACTGATCTTCTTGTGGATGCCAATAGGCCTTTCCAGCTTAAGTACATTTACTCCACAGAAATGGTTCAAATTAAGTGTCATTATGGTGTCTGGAATGAAGAAGGAGTTCCTCAGTTTATTTGAAATCGATGAACGTTCTGTAGCTTCTTTTAGTTCCTGTTGTGTTTAACAAAGATTATTATATTGAGGACTAGAAGACACAAACAAAAAAAAAAACAGTACAAACAAACATGATTGTTCAATTCCCTTTGTGTCCTTTAAGCCTCACTGCCAAGCTGAATTTAATATATCGAAGGGGTCTACTGCAATGGCCAATTTGTGTATTTTGTGATCAAGAGTAGATGTAACTTTTCTTTTTTAGGGGTATGTACATGTATAACACAAAATAATAGCACTTATGGTCCATGTGGAATGTAATTTTAATGAACTAACAAGAACATTATAACCTTAAACACCAAAACATTACAGCTTTTGTTATAAATGAACTCTCCTCAGAAAAACATCTTACTATCTCAATATTTAATTGTCTAGCCACCACCTTTGAACACCCTTAATCTGATGTTATCCAGCCAAGCTTCACAGAAACTTTTCATTTTTGAGCTTCAGCAAGAATTTGTTTCATCTTTACTGTTAGTTTCCCTGCTGAACCACAAGCAATAATTTCTTTTGAAATTTCACATGAGCAGTACATGCATGCACTTGCAGTGCTTAAAGGCATACCACATGAACAATATCCTGCAGTGCTGCACCGCTTTGGCACATATGTGTCTTTACATTTCTTATAGGTATCATGAAATGGATTCTGTTGCCTTATCCAAATGTTGGACATGTGCTCATGTCTAAACACTTTAGCCCATCTGTGTTTTACAAAGGGAAAAACTAGCAAACGAAGCAAGTTGCTGGTGTTTAGACTCTCTTCCCTGCATTGAATTAATTCCTAAACCCACACCAAGATCTTCAAAAAGCTGTTTAGTATGAAATGGCACACAGTAGCCCATTGCCCAAACACTGAGATTTGCAGAGTGAAATAATGATGTTAGATTAAAATATTGTGTGCAATCCTGCTCTAACTTTGGTAGATCACTGTAACTAATATTGGAGACCCTACTAGCAAGGGACAAGCTGTTCCTTAGGTGAAGACCCATTCTCCCAAGAGATAACACAAAAAAAGCTCTTGGCTTGCTCAATGTCACCCTCCTCAATTTGAGCTTCAACAAGATACATAAAGCCATCACAAAATTTCTTAGTTTCCTCCCCAGTGAACCGAAATTCAAAAGGAGATGTCTTTCGTTTCTCTTTAAACCATTGCAAAATCTTATTATACATCTTCTTGCACTTTAATTTAAACCGAGAGAGCCTTCAAATGCTTACGCAATGAGTTATCTTCTGGCAATTGAAAAACAGACTTTGTACTGGTGGGAATCTTTGCTTTAGCCAAAACATGGGTGAAAAGCAACTTATGCCAATGCCCCCAACAATTATTTCCCACATGAAGATTATCACATTTTGCATTTTGAATAACTGGACCAAGAATTGGCTCAAATTCTTGTCTAGATTTAAGGCTTGCTATGTGGTTGCATACTTTGGTACGCAATGTCTGCTCTTGAGCAGCATTAATTGGCCTTGCCTGTTTTTCTTTAAATTGTGTCACCTTTTTGGCAACTTCTTCCCTGAATTTATATTCCCATGGCCTCCACTTACTTTGAGGATTGTTACTCAAGCTTTGCCCTCTTTCCTGTAATTCACTAAGTTGCACATTTGCAAAAGAACATGGGTATTTAGCAGCATTGCTCAGTTCTCCAGAAAATTTTGCTAGCCACTTCATATCTGATGGAACAAGTTTAAATTCAAACTTAACCTGCTGATTTTTTACTGAAAAGTTTGACTTGCAATCGTGGCCATCTCTGATCTAAGTTGTTTCCCATATTCTACCATGGCAGGGTGATCTTCTTTACAGTTGGCACCACAAATCAAAAAATTATCATCTGGTGAGGCAACTCTTTCTGAAACATTCAAAAATGAAACAAGCCATGCACAAGCCTCATTAGCCTTACCAAAAAAGGGCACCATCTGCACCCATTGCTACTAAAAATGACCCTTCTGTTTACCAAACCATGTAAGAAAATTAGGTATATGGCTATCTATGTGAAGGTAGAGGTCTGCCATTTGGAGTAAACGCTCTTTAAGGTCAATATAATACCCAGGGATCACTGGCAGTAAGTTGCCATCAACTTCTTCGTTTTCCTTTTCTACGTCACTCTCAGCAGTAGCCTGCGGTATGCTATGAAGTTTTCCAATATCTTGTACCTCTATAAATTTCATCAGCTCCTTGTAAGGTACAAGTGCAGGTAATCTACAACCCTCTTTAAACTCTGTGCGCTTTCGCTTCTTTGTTGGGATGTCATAATCAAAGACTTCTGAAGATCTTATATTACAATATTTTCTCTTACTAAGAATTCCACCCCTGTATAGCACACTTACAGACCTGAGAAAATTTGTTGAGGACTTTTCAAATTTAGCTACAGATTTAGCCACAATCTGTGGGACAACTGTTTTACAAACAGTTTTTGACTTTTTCAGTACATCAATGACTACTTTAGTTTTACAGTTTTTAACCAAGGTGCTCCAAAGTCCATTGGCAGTTGCACATTGACCTTCAGGTTCTGTACTTGGCGTAGAGTGAACTTTCTTGGCACAATCATACGTAAGCTTTCTTCTCTTAGCTGAAATGTTGTGTGACAAACCAACACACTTGTCACTGTTGTTTTCATCTAGAGTGGTCGGTGTTACAACATGTTGTCCTCTTGGCAGGTGCACTATTTCATTTTCTAATAACCCTCGCTATAGAGAGAGGAAAAAAGCAAGAGGTGAAAATGTGATTTTAAAATTGTAAACACTAAAATAATAAATTGATTATGTCATTTAAAACACCAAAATACTGATTTGCTATAATTATGGCTCTGCACAAATTTTGTGCACAAGTGCATTGCTACATGTAGTTTGTTTTTATTACAAAATCGATCTCTAAGAAATTACTCATAAATATTTTGAAAACAAATTTGTTCACCATCTTATTCATTAATCATGATATTTATCAGCATGCAATATCATATTTGTAAAACAAATAATTGAACAGGTGGCTCCCTAAAACTATTTTACACTTCTAATCTTGATATTTTGCATTTTAAATCGAAAAGTCTCCTTCGATGAAAATAATCTGAGTATCAGTAGGTAATCACAAAACCAAAGATCGATTATTTTCACAACATTACGTACCTTTCTCTTTAGCTCTGTAATTTTTCCCTCCAAGTCTTGAATAGACTTATTCGCTTCAACTAAAACCTGTCGTTTCTCCTTCCTTTGCCGTGCCCACTCTCCAATGGGAAAACGTGAGGTCCCCGACATCTCGCCGGTGTAACTTTGGTAAAACAAGAACAATGTCAGCCAAATTTTCCGTGTAAATAGTCAATACAACAGGCTAAAATCCTATCGATTTCATTTAGCGTAAATCAACACTAAAAGCGGTAAAATTAACCTCAAACACAGCCAAAAATCTCCAAAAAGTCATACTAATCATCTTCTACTTTTAGATAAAGAGAAAAAATCGAACACGTCTCTAAAATAGTCGAATTTGGTATCAAATTAAAGCTTACCTTGTTGTTTTGCAAATGGCGGACAACACAAACCTGGTGGGAGTCACATGTAGGTACCAGATCTCTTCAAAGTCCAGTGTTGAATGGTCCTGTGCGCTACCCACAAATCTTTGCGCGCGTGACCAAAAACAGGTGGGGTGGTCAAAAAAATGTCAAAAATCCCCAGTGTGGCTGGCAGATTTTATCAGGAATCACATGTATGCAAAGCAGTGCTTCTTACTAACAACATGCAATTTTTATTCAAAAGTTTAAACACAATTATTTTGGGCCTAGCCCATCTTAAATAATTGAAGATACTTCTTGTCTTTTTGTGACTGCATCTAATCACATGGTTTCTTATTCTCATAACAAACAGGGCAGTGGGTTGCAATCAAGAGGCATTACTACTACCCAGGATTCAGAGAAAACTATCGATTTCCACCAGAAAAACGGAGTATTGCTGAAGAACTCCCTGTCATGGTTGACATAGGACAGGAAGAACGAATAACAGTGGCTTTAGACAGATCAAGAGAAAGTGGCTTTCATGGAGTTTCTCAACTGCATCGTCTGCATAAGCTGTACAAGTTTGATGTTCTTTAAGACTTGGTGTTTGATGCAATGCACCTCATTCCTCTTAACCTTGTAAAGAGGAGACTGGAATATCTTCTTTCCAATTCACTGGTGGATCAAGATCACTTACGCCAAGCTTTAAAACGGATGCCCTGGACTACTGGTACAGTAATCTAACTTATATTTCCATTCTGTTAAAATTTAACAGTATTGTTACATGCATGTGTTAGGGGATAAGCTCTAATGCTAAACAGGTTCATCCTGCCTTCTTTTATGATATTTAATGCTACTTGTTTGTGTGTATATACCAATACAATAAGTAGGAATACAGTAAAAACCCGCGAGTAAGAACCAGCATTTTTCCAGGTTAGCCTAAATGCTTCTTATATAACGGATATTTAACAGAATTTTAGGCTAAATTGTATCTTAACAGGTTCTTATTTTCTGACGAAAAAAATCATTATTTCTGATCAAGTTTTTAGTGGTATTCAGCCTTTTTCTTATATGAAATTTGCATACCAATGTTTAGACTATATTGGAACTGTATTGGCACTTTATTGATGTCAACATATCTTATTCTCCAGAACATGTAGACATTTTTTAATTAATTTTGAAAATAAGAACCAGTTTCAAAACTTTAGGCTCAAGTGGTTCTTATATAACGGGGGTTGGTATAACAGGCAAATTTTAGCCTAACTGGTTCTTAAAATAGTGGTTCTTACTCGCGGGTTTTTACTGTAAGAGCACTGAAAATAGGCACAATGCTTTATTAACTACATGAAGTTGATTTTAGAAATCTTATGTGTGAAATATATTTCTTAGAGTACAAAGCTGCCAGACTTCCTACAGATCTATCTGAAATTGGCTTTTGGAAAGGTACGCGTCTGAAACTTATTTTGAGAGGGCTATTTGAGGGTGGTACTTTTAAGTGCATACTGGGAAATTGAGTGAGTGTTTATTCTTTCTATTGTCCAGTTCTAAGTAAAAAGTAAAACTTATTTCAGTCATGTTATAAATCTCTTATTAATCACGCTTGCTTAGGACTATACTGGGATAATGACGACAAGGCAAAGTCAGGTTCAACACTGTAAATACCAGGGTCTTATACCTTCGGTAAAAAAGAATTGCATTTATTTTTTTTTTTTATAATTAGGTAACTTTGATTTTGGGTTTCAGGCTGACTTGGTTGCCACATTCCAAAAACTGCATCAGTGTAATGCTGAGAAACAAGTTTTTTACACATCATAAATTAAAAAAAATAATAATAATAATGTAATTTGTTATTAATTTTTATTATAGCAAAACACAAAAAAACAGGGCAAATTTTATTTAACTTTAAATTTATAAATTATTATGTTGCAGCTGAAGAATATCAAAAGCTTGGCTACCCAGCTTCTGAGTTTGTTCTGGAAGGATTACTGTCGCCTGAACATGGTGAAGTTTGGGCCCCACTTCCAAGAATAGTGGAGTTTGTTTTCAATTGTGGACAAAATGGCTGGACATTTGAAATGATTGAAACTTTTCAAAAATTGTGCTGGCGATACTGCATTCTTGTTGAGGAAACATATGGCATTTCAGAATGTTTAATAACACTACATAGCCTAACACATTTACCAGAAGACATAACAAGATTCTCATCACCAGACAATTTCTGGTGTTTTCAGTTTGAACGAGCAGTTGGTCGATATGTTAAGCAGTCCAGTAATAATAAAGGCATAGAGAAAAGCTTTGCACGGAGAGAATCGCAACAAGAATTCATCAAAGCTTGGTCACTTGAAAAGAAACAGTGGAAGATTGCTTCATCCAAGACTGGTAGCTATGACCAACAAAAGGTAGATTAAGATATCAGTAATCACTACCTCCCCCATTGTTAGGTGTGGCGAATGGTCATTGAAAAATGATGGGTCTTGGCAAATTTTGCATGAGTCTCAAAATCTCAGCACAACAAACCAGGGTCCCGGAATCTTGGCTCGTGAAAAACACTTGAATTTTACAATCGCGGCGCAGGGTCTTGGCAAGTCTCGGATTTTACCATTTGCCACCCCTATTATTCATTGTCAGGAGTTTTCATCTTTTTAACACATTGTTAATGCATCCATCGGCCATTTCAATAAATAAGTGTAGAGCTGCTGTTCCAAGCTTTAATATGAATATCATTAAAATTATAAACTGTCCATTTATTTACAGATGGTTGCTTCTTCTCTTCAAGCAGCAAAGGACCTTGTTAGGTGGTGTGAACTTGTAAGAGTCGACACTATCAGAGCTAACAATGGTGTGCTTGTTGGGAAGGGTGAAATAGAGGCACTTCAGAGAGATGAACGGTTGAGTATTAAGGATTACTTTAGAAATGTCCCTGGCTTTGGTGAAGCACCAGACACAGCAGCAGTTTATAGAAGTGCCTTGGTAGAAAGGGCCCATGCTTCTGCGTGTGGAACAGTATATCATACTGGAGATGATGCTGTAGTATCTCAAGGAGCCAACATGAGCATTGTCAAAATATTGAAATTCTATTTGGTTTTTGTAAACCAGGAGTACATTCCTATTGTGACTGGTGATTCTTACCGAATTGCTACAGATGCTCTGGGTAACATTTTAAGGCACCCTCTCAGTGATACCATTGTCATTGAGCCATTTGAGACATGCACATGTTTTCAAGTACAGGATCTGATAAGAAAAGTCATGCTTTATCCATTTCAACCTGGAAAGTTTGCTGTTGTGGATCCCATGAGATCAAGAATCCCTATTCCCCAGGTCCTTGTACCAGTGTCTCCCCAAGTGGGTGAAATGGTGTCTGTTCAAGGAGGTGATGAAGAATTGTGGAGAGCTGAAGTACGAGCTGTAGACCATGGACATAAAACAATCAGGGGTTATTTCTTTGTCAAACACCATCAGTGGAATGAAAATCAGTTGTGGAAAAGGGAATCCATGGGCCATGCTATGGACACCAATCACTTTAAGAGCATTGTCAGTATACTTGATGGACAGTGGCATGGGCCTTACTGGAAGACAATGGATATTAGACTTAATTTGAATTTGTGTATTCCTGAATATCTTTTACATTCCACTGTATGCAAATAGGGAAATGTTGTATCTCCATCTTGGATCTATGAATTCCACTCCACAATTGTCAACTGAAGTAAATTTTTGCAACAAAGAATACAATTCAATGAACAATTAAATTTCTGCAAGCCAGGGAGGAATTCTGTTTTCCTGCCTTTAAAAAATTCACTTACATGTGCTATAAGAAACTGAAACTCGTAGCAGGGTTCGTACCCTTTTTCAGAAACAATTTTCCAGGACTTTTCCAGGACTTTTCCAGGCTTCAGATTATTTTTCCAGGACTCCAAAATTCACCTTAACTCTTTCACTCTCATAAGTATAAAAGATTCATTTCTACTTTCAATTTCAACACATTGTCAGACATACAAATGAGAACAAAGAAAACAGAGAATATCAACTTCTTTCATTGAACTCTTAATATCTCAGAAGTAACATCAGAAATCCGTGACTGATACTAAGTAGAATTAATATTCACATCTTGGGATTCAAAGTGGGGTTAATTATTTTTCAGCTCTTGGAGCTTTCCTTCCAACTGCTCTTCAATGTCCTTTAAGACTGCCCTTTTTTCCTTGGCAGATCTTCGCAAACTGTTTGATTTGGCAACCCAAGTAAGGTTTCTTGAATCTTCAGCCCTATCTGCAAATTCATCTGCAGTCTTTAAAAGAGCCTCTATATCAGTTTCAATTTGCCGTTTTTTCTTCTTCAGCACATCAATCCCATCCATTGCTGCCTTTCTTTTAAGCGTGTTTTCCTGGGACACTTTAATTCTCTTCTGCTCTTCTAGATAGGAAATATATTTCTGTCGCACTCCAGCAGATGCCATAAGTAGTTGCTTTGAGATTTTTACATTGGCAAGGCCTCCAACTGATTCAATATGATCATGAATAATCCTCTGTGCAATGAACGATCTTTCCGACAGGTTCTCAACTGCCACTTCTTTGTTTACAGAAAATCCTCTTTCAACTGTGGCTTGACCATGAGACATTAGCAGCAATAATTCAACTACCCCCATGCTTTTGCCAGTTGCTTATTACCAGCCATGTGTTCATATAACAGTGTGTCGACTCTTAAAGAGGATTCACTAGGGTCAAAATCTTCAAAGTCAGGATTACCTGCACATTCATCCAAAAACTGTCCAAACTGATATATCACCTCATCACACTCATCAGCCTTCAATCTGTGGGCTTCCACAAGGATTTCAAGAACTCTTTTCATTTTTTTGACACATCCTTCTTTCTCTGATGCCATTAGCCTTGGATCCAGACAAGACATACTTCTTACTAGTCGATAATTTATTGGTGTTTTGTCAAGCAGTTTAGAGGCTGTTTTTGCAAGAAAATCTTTACATTCCATTCTGAATTGAAGAACTTGCCTTTCACTCAATTTCCCAGATTTTTTTTTTCAGCATGTGTTGTGCCACAAAGCCAACATCAACTTTCTGGTAGTCTAACTGCTGTTCTTTATCAGTGGGCTTCAACCTCAGGATCTTCAGAGGAGATGTTGCCTCGGTAACAAGTTCACCCTTGATAAACCTATTCAACAATGATTTCAACAAAGTGTACAAACTGATACTCATGAATGGCAGCATAGGTTTATCAGTCTGAAATGCTGTGAGAAAAGGATTGATCTGTTTTGCCACTGATGAGAAGAAGGCAATCTTTGCTGGCATCAAGGGATCACAGCAACTACTGCTAATGGTCTCGTAAGATTTGGACTTGGGATCAGTAACTTTCTTTGCCTTAACAGCATTAATGTATTTGACAATGTGAGGCCACACTTCCAGTGCTCGCTCGGCAACTGACACATTCTCTAACCACCGGTGCTGGCAGAATTTTAGGGGAATACACTGCTACCAGTTATTCTAATGTAGTCTTCTCTTCGAGCCGGACTGTCTTTAAACAGCCAGTAAAGACTGGAGAGAGTTTTCTGCACCGTCCATCCAGCTGCATCACAACCATCCTTAAAAGCTCCATGCACAACATGTATACCACAACTGCCTGTGTTAAGGAGAGTGCAACTGAAATCACTCTTCAATTCTTGCTCTACCATTTCATAAAATTTCCAGTTAACCTTGGGCCCATCCATAGAGAGTTGAATCAGATTTCTACAGCTCAAGTCCTCTTTGCAAGAATGAAACTTTTGAAGCATATCCTCTGCACTAGAATGCCCAAGAAATTATGAATCATAATAGCGAGTTTCAACTTTGTCATGATTCCAGATGCGAACATGGAAATCCATCTGCTTCTTTTGCAGTTCGTGATTCAAACTTTCATCAAACAAAAGCACATATCCCTTTGAAGATTTGACTTTTTCCTTTAGAAGACTCTTGAAACATGGTGCAATACCAAAGCAAGAAAGATAGGAGGCCTTTTTCTCCCCACAGGTAAATTTCTTTGCAATGTCACTGTCTGGAAACATTTGCTGCACTAAGAAGTTTATATCTGTACAGGAATTATACGAATAATGGCTGCTATTCACCTTTAGCGCCCACCAAATTTCAGCAGTTAAAGTATCATTCCTCGTCACGAACCCGGACATACCTGCTGTTGTACTAGCGGCACTACTTGATACAGTCAAAGTAGAGTTGTTACTTTCAGTGGCTGTTCGAGGGGCAGCGAAAGAGCTGTTCGAGAAAAGGTTTCTTATGTCACCTGTTGTATTTCTTTGTTGCTTTTCGATAAGATGAATATGCTTCTTTCCCTTTTCGTGGCTTTTCAATGCCGATTCTCCCATATTTGATACATCAAACGCTTTCATACAAACTCTACATTTTGCTTTAAACTTGTCCGCGTCACGTTCCAGCCACAATTTATAGGAAGAGTTTTCCAACCATCGGTCACTAAACAAGCATTTCCCAGGCATATTTCGGAACAAAACATTTAAAACTCAAGACGCCCATTCACTGAGTACCCGTTTACAAAATCATGCATGCATCAAGGTTACTACTGCGCATGAGCTTATGATGATACATGAGCCCTCGATCCAGAGTTACACTCGTGTCAGTTTCGGGAAACATGAAAAAATATAGATGCGGTCATGCGGTCAAAACCAGAAAGGAATACGTTATAAAAATACTAAAAAAACTTTGCTCATTTGTTTTAGAGAAAACTTTATTACTTTGTTCAGTTTAACAGATTTCCAGGACTTTCCAGGACCAGCATTACTTTTCCAGGACTTTCCAGTCCTGGAAAATGCGATAATAAAATTCCAGGACTTTCCAGGATTTCCAGGACCCGTACGAACCCTGTCGTAGTAGTCATTTCAAACAATTTCCACCATTGAAATTTTAAAATCCAAGTTTACTTAGTTTGGAAATTTTAATTTCCATGACAACTGTGGATTTTTTTTTCCATGTTAAGTAATGTCAAACAATTTCCACCATTGGAAATTTAAAATCCAAATTAACTTAGTTTGGAAATTTTAATTTCCATGACAACTGTGGATTTATTAATTTCCATGTTTAGTAATGTCAAACAATTTCCACCATTGGAATTTTAAAATCCAAGGTAACTTAGTTTGGAAATTTAAATTTCCTTGACAACTGTGGAATTTTGAATAACCATTAAATGGAACTTCACAATTTTCCATGCAAGGATATTGACATTTTATTCTTTGGATTTTTTAGTTTCCATACATCACATGGAGATTAATTAACCTGATGTGGATTTTGTATGGATATTTGCATCCTTTGAAACTTAACCTCAAAAAACCACAAAATAACCACATTTGGTTTTTAAACAGACTGTGGAATTTTTGAAAACCATACAAAAACCACAGTGAAGTCTCTGTGGAAATTTTGACTTTTTTCCAGTGGTATCTATATATATATATTTTGTAATGAACTTCTAACTTTACTTTCTGTTCAGTGCATGGCAAGAATTAGCCAAAGGGTCTCTGCTCTATTTAATCACTGTACCTTTCAGTAAAGTAAACATGGGCATAAATTTTTGCTCTCTTTTGGAAGTCTTCAATATTGCATGTGCAACATTAACTTTTATTTCCAAATCATAACAAGTTCCCCATAACACTAACAAAATGTACATCTGTGACTTTATTTTTTTGGTTTCTATGCTTCTTGTTCATCATCAAAATATATAAAAGTTTTAAGTTGTTGCCAATAAAACGAGTATATTTACTGTATAAAGGCCTATTTACACGGCACGACTTTGTCGCATGCGACAAGCTTACGACAGGCCTACGACATGACTTAGGACAATTTACACGCGCACGACATTTTCACCTACGACATGCCAAAATCGCGTGCAATTCCACTCCGGTGGACTGGGGATAGCAACAAACAAAATGGCCGAGAGCCGAAAAGTTTCGGCCGCGGTCATTGTTTCAATAATTTGCAAGAGAAGGAAGAAGAAGAGAAAGGTGAAGGAAGTGTGGGAGAGGGAATGGCTAAGAAGAAGAACGGAGCGAGGGGTTTTTAGGCAGTTGTTAGAGGAGTTAAGGCTGGAGGACGAGTGTAATTACGGGCGATACTTACGGATGGACACGGAAACATTTCAGGTGAGGTTAAATGGTTTTCCTTACTTCGTAAACACGTACAGTGGGTGTTTTGGCGCTTTTTTGAACTGTGAAAGACATTTTCAGATTATGGTTTTCATGGATATTCGTAATTTTAGCGTTTAGTGTAATTTGTGTCGGGGTAAAATTTATTTGATCGTGATCGGTCGCGCGAAATATTTGGGCCCTGAAGTCAAGCAAGCAAGCCCTTCAAATGCAAACTAGGGGTGTCGAATGGTAAATACGAGCCTTTGCGAGACGGCGAGACCAGCGTTTTTCTTTTCGAGACCGAGACTTTGAGGTCTTTGGATTGCAAGACCGAGAATTAGACTCCAAAACGGCTTCGCAAAAAATTCGAGACTTTTAAGACTTTCAGAAACGCTCAAAAAACGAGACTGCGAAACCCTTGAAATTTCACAAAAATTTTGCGAGACCTTTACATTTTTAGAGGCCATTCGCCACCGCTCGGACTCGTTTTATAAGAGGTGCTAACAAAAAGTGATTTCTGTAGTAGTATTCCTCGGTCTGCATTTTACCCCTGCAGACTGCGTTTTTAATACACTGACCGAATTTTCAAGTTGGCGTTTGCAATAACAATATTGAAAAATGATTTTGACAAAATAGTTCAGCTGTTCAGTTACACAGTTAACATTGCATGGTTACATTGCATTCTACAAACTTTACGAAGGGAGAAAGGAATTTGTGATCTAAGTTGAATATTATCTGGAGTTCATTTTCCCTTGATTGATTTAGTAAAAATCGTCAGGACCTTGTGTTGACGGCATTCCTATTGCTTGTCCACCGTGAGAATGGTAGTGTTACGTACCACATTGTTTTTGGCGGGACAAAAATTCCACCCTGACAAAATTTTTGAAAAAAATATCATAGTATTCAGTGAGAAACTGGACTGGGAGGAATACTCGCAGTATAGATGATGGGGGGGGAGGGTCGATGGAGCTTCATATTGCAAACCCAAGATAATACATGAACCCGAAATTTTACACTCAAAAAAATACAAGGCAAAATTTTTACAGTCAAACAGACTTTAAGACCAAAAAAATTGTGACAGGTCTCTTGATCCACAAAATACCACGGGTGTAAATTTTCAATCGCAAAAATATGTCAGACCCCCCCCACCCCCCGCCATGTATACTGCAAGTACCCCCCCCCGGTGACAACATGAGTGAGTCCATTGATGTCCATTGATAAGCTATTGAAATTGAATTGCAGTAACCATTTATGTTGCTTGCCGGCTGGGCACAGCATGGTAATACTCATCCTCTATGAAAATCGATCATCAGTATGCTAACATCAGTATGAATTAATATTAATCTTTTAATTAATATTGATTATAATTTAATTGTATCGATTTTCATAAGATTCAGTCTGAAATGAAAGGCATTGATGCAAAGGTCTGGGGAATAAACCATATAAATTCTATATTTGGTATTGAGGTAGAATTTTACTAGATAAAAATATTATGTCTTTTAGTTTGTCCAGGTTGAGTTAGCATTCAAAGGTTACTGTTTTATTCTCCTGTCATATGTTACTTATAATTATGTCAGGGGGGCAAAACAGACTGTCACCTTTTATCTTGGGTGTGTAAAATGTTGTCCAAGTGCTGATATTTTACTTAATTATGTTATGGCAAAATTGGTTGATCTTTTTCTAAATCTACCTTTAAATTTTTAGAACCTTCTTGAAAAAGTGACACCGTTAATTGAAAAGAAAGAGACCAACATGAGACAGCCAATACCACCTGGAGAACGTCTGGCAGTGACCTTGAGGTTTTTGGCTACTGGAGAGAAATTTTCCAGTCTTCAGTACCAGTTCAGAATCAGTGTGCCATCCCTGTCAGTCATTATTCCAGAAGTGTGTCAAGCCATCTTTCAGGTCCTTAAGGACAATTACTTCAAATGCCCAAGTACTCCAGAGGAGTGGTTACCAATAGCACAGCTGTTTCATGACCGTTGGCAGTTGCCGCATTGCATTGGTGCTGCTGATGGAAAACATGTACGTATCCTCCATCCACGCAACTCTGGTTCTAAATTCTACAATTACAAGGGTTTCTTCAGTGTTGTGTTGCTTGCAGTTGTAGATGCAGATTACAAATTTATATTTGCTGATGTGGGCTGTCAAGGCAGAATAAGTGATGGTGGTGTACTCAGAAACAGCCTGTTTTGGAAAGCTCTGGTCAATGACTCTCTTGGCTTACCCCAGCCGAGATTGCTTCCTGAGTCAGCAGACAAATCTTTTGATGGCAGCTACACCCAAAATCCATTGCCTTTTTATCTAGCTGGAGATGATGCTTTTCCACTAGAGAATAACATCATGAAGCCTTATTCACAGAGAAATCTTTCAGATGAGAAAAGGATCTTCAACTACAGGCTTTCCAGAGCACGACGGATCAGTGAGAATGTTTTTGGCATTTTGACAAGCAGGTTCGGGGTATTTTCAACTGTTATATGTACAAAGCCAGAGAGTGCTGTCAATATTGTCCTTTGTGCAATAGCTCTGCACAACTTTTTAAGATCAAGAGTTCCAGAAAGGTACATCCCCACTGGGGCCCTTGACATGGAGAACTCCAATGGTGTGGTAAATGAAGGTTCCTGGAGGCATGACGTTGCTACAATCCCATTTGCAAATGTCCCAAATTCTCGAAAGGGAAGGCAACCAAGGAAGGCAGAGGAAATGAGGGACCAGTTATGCAACTACCTCAGTGGTCCAGGCCAAGTTCCATGGCAGTGGAATGTCTTAATTTAACTTTTAAAACAGTAAGCAAATTGCAAATTTTATGCAATTGTGACAGATGTACCAAAGTCTTCTGTTGAATCCGAGAGGTTTTTCTCCATATTTTTAAATAGAACAGTCAGTTGTATAAGGAAGATGTAATATTTTATTGCAATTGAAATTCCACAACTACAGGCTTTCCTGAGATATTGTTGATTTTGTGTTTTGACTTCATACTAGAACGACTGATGACGTCATCAGTTATCTAATTTGCATAATGTAAAAACTTTAATATCTCTGGAACTGAAGAAGATATTGCAAAAAGGAAAACACCATTCTTCTTCTCTCTTAAAGGCCTTTCAAATGAGACAAAATAATTTTTTACTTCATATGCACTTTAAGTGTAAAAGTGACTAAAAAATGTGTTACAACTTATGATATGTTCATGCATGAACAATATTTACAAATTTAATAAATAATTCAAAACCTTTGTATTTATTCTCTCTGATCAAAATGCATTAACAAATATATATTCCTCTCGAGTATACTGAAAGTTATATAACAACAGTCTTAAGTTTATACAAGTACTGTTTTCATAAAGACTGTTCATAAAATGGGCATGAATGCGAAAGTTTTAAATTTTAACAAAAATATATCATGGAAATTGTAAATTTTGTCCCAATAAATTATTTATTTTTAAACACCGAATTCAGGGCAAAAATTGACTCACAATGAAGAAAATAAATTACTTGTCATTAAAGTCATCAAAAGCCTAGGTGACAAGGTTGGACAAGGGCTGTGCTACAGGTAACATTACTTTTACAATACTTTGTTGAATTTCAATTTTCAGCATCTCTTTAGCATACCCTTCTGGTATTTTTTTCAGTTGTCTTGAGACATACTGCCCAAACACAATATCAGCATCAGTGACATCCTCTTTCGGGCGCTTCATTTCCTCTAAACAAGTGGAAAGAAGCTCATCCTCAAATGCTAATGCCCTCTTTTTTTTGTTTTTTACTGACGGAGGGTTGTTAGTGGGGAAAACACTCCCTTGGTCAGAACCATCATCAGAAACATGGTGAGTTGCTTGCTGAGATGGCTGATCCTGTCCCACAGCTTCATTTTCTTTCTCCTCTGAAATGCAAGTGTCCATATTGCTTGAGGTTTTCCTGGGGGTTATGTTATCTCTCAAAAAGTGGAGGGAGGTGAAAAAGTGCCATTTTGATACATACACGTCCTTGGTCCCTTTTCCACTTGTTCTGCTGCTTCTTTCTTTCCCGATTTCTTTCCCATAATATGTACGCAGGGCAGACATTTTCTTTAGAAGCTCCTCACTTGTGAGACCTAAAAAAATTCAGGCCATGTTAATATATCAGTTTCCATAGAGTCAGAAACAGACGGCTGAAGCAGTTGCAGCAAGAGCAAAACCCAGAGCAAGTACCATTCCATGTTCCAGTCATTGTAAAAAAAAAATAAGGAGCTGTGGCCAACTCGACCAACTCCTTCTCTCTCCTCTTAATCTATGCTTTGCACAACCCCATACATTTATTATACACGCAGCCATTCTCATACTATTGAGCGTTTTCACTCACCTGACAAGCCGCCATATTGGTTTACTCAAACAAAAGACCATTTTTGCATAAAAATAAAGTTCAACTCCCAAAGGACTGGTTTGGTACACCAATATGGCCGACGTTTCTTTGTTTTGGAACACCAATATGGCCGCCGTGACGTCAAGTGAAAACGCTCTATTTCACATAAACAGTTAATATGAATAGAGTCGAAACTTGTATTCAGTAATTAATCTATGGGGCTGTGCGGAAATCTTACCGACGAATTTTGTCGCGACAATTTTGTTGGACAACTATTTTGTCTCCTGACACAGTCATGATGCTTTACTGACGGCACTAATGCGTCCTTGCTTTGCAGCCGGCAGCCGGTCATGCTTTTTGGCTGACAAATTTAGGAAAAAACTTACTGGTGTTATTCCTTTGCTTATTGTTCGCGATGATAATTGCAATAAGGCATATTTTGTTTCTTGAGAACGCGAATGAGTCCGCTTTAACTCAGGTCAAGCCGCCTTCGAGCGTCATCAGTGTCATCGATAAATAAACTTTTGGAAGCTCGCTTCGGCCAAAATTTCGGGGCTGTCCTGGTGTACCGGTACACGAGGGAATTCCTTTTGTTTTCATAACCATACATGGAGTTATGACGCAGTTCGTTAATGTTTCCTTCCTTTGTGTACCGGTACACGAGGACACAACCAAAATTTCCCAAGTCGCAACAAATCATCCACACTTGTAAAACGTCGGTGATGACAGAAATTTGTCTAAATAAAGTTGCTAGTGCGAATAGGCCCTAAATTATGACGGCTTGAAGTATATTTGCTTTCGGTTTTCATGGGCTTACCTTGTTTATTGAGGCGCAACAAAATGCGATTGACTGCACTTTGTCTAGCGTCATTTTTAAAGTAGTCTCTGTGGCGGCTGTTGAAAAGAACCTCTTCCTCGCTCCACAGTGATATCATATTCTCTGTTTCCTCATCAGAGAATGTATTTTTCGCTTTGGAAGCAGTCTTCGACTTTCCGGAGGCGACTTCCTCCGCCATTTTGACACAAGAAAATTTCACCTTCCTCCCCTACTCAGTAGAAATTTGTCACAAAATACGTCATTTTCTATCAATTTCGGCTACGATTGTCGCAGCGTTTTAAAACATGTTTTAAAATCCTACGACATTTTTCGTGACGTGCACGACAGTCGTAAGCGAGTGGTAGGTTTGATTTACACGATACAATTCGTGTCGTAGGCCTGTCGTAAGCTTGTCGCATGCGACAAAGTCGTACCGTGTAAATAGGCCTTAATATACTTCTAAATGTTCTTATTGTTCAGTGCAAAGCAAGAATTAAGACAAAGGGTCCCTGCTCTATTGAATCACGGAGCTATCACTCAAGGAAGCTAATTCCACCCTTTCAACAAAGTAGGCATGGCTGTAAGTAAGGTATTGAGTTTGATGTAAGCTTAAATTTTGATACTCTTGTTAAAGTCTTCCAAATTTTCCTATTCCAGTATATGGTCTCTTTTGTGTCCATGTAGAGGAAAATTAACTTTGAATTATTATTTACTTCAAAAGGTTTTATTTTCTTTGTATATTTTCATAATATGCCCTGGTTATCAATGTATTCAAATTAAAAAAAAAATTGTAGACATTAGAATAAGTTTGAATTTAAGTATGGCTGTAAAAATTTACTATGGTTATTCTTAAGCAGAATGCTACAGACAAAATGAAACTTCCTTTTTTTGGACCAAAGATAGAGTCACAAATGATATCTGATTGTAAAATTGTTTTGATTGAGTGGTTAAATCTAACACATTTATTGAACAAATAGAACACCTTCGGATAAAACTCTTTGTACAATGAGGACACTTCTTATGTTACACATAACCATACGTGCCATTTAAAAGAAATGTATAACTGTATTCATTACTTGTTTTAGGCTTTATTACACCCATTTTGAAATCACTGGTGGTCCCTGTAATCTGATTGGCTCTAATTGATGTGATTTATAATGGTAATTGAACTGAGTGGAGTGCAATTTGGGCTGAAATCATACGCGTGATTTGAAATCACAAGTATGATTTCAGACCAAAATTGCACGACACGAGGTTCAATTACCACTTTATTACATCCATTTTGAAATCACCCAAATACAGGACTTGGTAAATTCGAATATTTTATTGATGCAGTACTGAGCCGGTTTTTAAATAAAAAGCGGAACCGGAAATGCAAAACAGAAAGACTTTGACGTCATGTGTCAAAAACTCAGTCAAGCGTATCAAAAGAAAGACAACTTTCATTCAAGAAATTCGAGAAGTCCTCAATAACTCAGAAAAATAGTGAAGCGTTACAGTTCAGTCCTCGTCATCTGACTCAATGATGTAAGCTCTTCGTTTCTTCTGTGGTTGGGGTGGAGAATTCTGGCTGTCTCTAGAGAAGAAATTGAAGGTGCAGCCTGAGTAATTCTGCAATGGAACGGGAGCAGCACAACTGAAGGCTTCCATGCGGTACTGAGACTGCAACGGAAAACGTGGTGGAAATCCTGAAAATTCAGCCGGCTGAAAACCAGGATTGGAGCCCATGGCCTGATGCATTTGGCCTTGTTGTTGGACGTGATAAATAGGAACCAGAGGTGTTCGTTTATGTTGGACTGCAATCTCTTGATTTGAGGCTTCATTTGAAGTGTTTTGGCGGGAGACTTCGTTTGCTTGATTTTCGTTTGACACTTCTTTATATCCACTGATAATGTGAGACAGTTCTTTCCTGTGATTCTCGTCTATTTCATCGTAGTCGTCTAACGAAGATTCACGTGCATGACCTGTTATTTCACAGATAACATTGCGTGGTTGACCAGACTTCTTCAGTTTTGATACCAATGTTTTCCTCATGCTGTGGTTCGTCAGCTTCTTATTCGTCCTGAGACAGGAGGCCATGTGTAGTGTTTAGGCTATTGAGACATTTCGTGCCGCATACATGGTGTAATGTAGGTTCGAGTTGCATCTCGGGTGGCGGAAAGCATGGCGTGTTGTAAAAGTCGTGTGCAGTGAATTAAAACACTTCAAAAGGTTTAATCCGTGTTAATCTGCTTATTTATTGGCCATCACCACATTTGGCGACGAGGATAAAGCAGGATAAAGGTTCTTGTGGATCCTTAAATTGAATTTCGCGACATGCCTGACACCGAGAGAGGT